AAAAAAAAAAAAAAAAACAAAGTATAAAAACAATTTTTTCTTGCTTTTGCTTTTTTTCTATCTTTTTTTTTTTTGTGCTCAAAAAGAATGCGTTCAATGCAATTTAGCGGTCAATTATATTTCGTCAAAAAATATTAGACGAATAGCTTAGGAAGAAGACTGCTTGAAAAGCAAAAAAAAAAAAAAAGAAAAAAAATTTTTTTTTTTTTAAATGTATTTTCAAACTGACATCTTCAAATCAACTTTGAAATATAGATTCCCAAGGGAGAAAAATTTTTACAAATTAACCAATTTGATTGAAATAGCTGAAAAAACACACACACACACACACACACACACACACACATACATACATACATACATACATACATACATACACAAATACTCACATATACACCAGAAGTACGTATGTTATGGAACAGAAGAAACCGTTGAATGAGATGAGTTGATTGCTACTGAAGTGTATCTATGAGAATCCTATGTGGTATATGTATAGTTGCAGCTTTTTGTCCAATGTTTGCCCGATGTCTGATGGTTGTCTGTCAATTTATATATCGCTTTGTATGTTCGCAAAAAAAAAAAAAGCATTCAAAACATCAATCATTTCCAGAAATTGTTCTGTCCTTGTATCATTGTGCTTCTATCTATTTAATATAACGCTTATAAATAGTAATAATAATAACAATAATAATAATAATGATAATGATAATAATAGCAATAACAATAATAGTAATAACTATAGTTACCGCCAATAATACTAATGTCAGTAAAGTGTTGAATCAGAAGAGAAGTAATGTCAAAAGTTATTTCACTTTTGATAATTCTACCGTTTTCTTACAACATAAGAAACAATAAATAAGAATAGAGTATAGAAAAATAGAAAAAAAAAACAGAAATTGAAAGGATTTATAGAAAGCACATTGAAAACGAAAAAAAAAAAGAGAGTAAATGATTGAAATGAAATCGTTTGCTTGAATACTGTAATAATATCAGTCAACAATAAAGATCAAAAGCTTATTATACAGATCTAAGTTGAAATAACTAAAGTATCTTTTCAATCATTCAACAATTCATTGATTCTCTAACAATATTTCAGATGATAAGAACAGGAACGAGAAAGCTATCAAAGGAGAGACAATGACTATTACCATATTTTTTTCTCTTGGGTTTTATAAACCGAAGATTTTTCTGTTATTTTTTTGTTGCTTACTTTCTTCTAATAAAACTGATTGAGTAAGTAAATAAATTACTGATGTTATATGCTCTATAATCAGTTCAAAAAACCAATCTATTTTTCTTTTATATTTGTACTGCAGTCAGAATTATTTTTCTACCTCTTTCTCAGGCCTTTTTCCTTCTCTTCCTCTTCGTCCTATTTCATTTTTTTTCTCCTCTCTAGTATAAATCGAATATAAGAAAAAAATAAAGAAATAGTATTTTTTTTTTTGGTTTTTTTTTGAGGAAAATCGAAATGACAACTGCTTAGTGTTCAGTTTAAAAATTGAACAATTCTTGACAACGCTAAAATTACCCCGTATAATATGCCACTAACTTATAACTTATTAATGTATATATATGTAATAATTTGCTGTAAAAAAAATTCTACTTTTTTTGCTTTTTTTTTAGTTCTAAAATTATTTTCCTGAAATATCACTTTATCAAAGCATAAAATAATTTAATGATTTTTTTGCATGTTCTTCTTATTTTTTTTTTCTTGATTATAGCAAAATCAAAATTAAATATTACAAAGCCATAAATGATATCCAAAACGAACACAAATTTACACACACAATAAAAACTTCTCAACCACAAAACCTAATTAAGCGACAGTCAACGTGAACAAAAACGACCAAAATGACGATCAAAGTTCCCCGATACAGCTTCGCCGTAGAGAAATACGGTGCTGGCTACGGTTTTCAAGTCCTTGAATGAACTGTTATAGACTTGATTTGCTAGACCAGTCTTTCTGATTATCTCTAGCAGTTTTAGTAAGCATAAATACACCTTTCTGGCTACCAGAAGAACACAAATAGACAGGATTAATCAAAAAAAAAAAAGAAAAAACAAAAGACAAACGTCAAGTTAAAGCAGCTCTTTTCAAATATAATATCAGTAGACGAAATCTGACAAACAAAAAAAAAGAAAAAAGATATCTTCTAAAAAATTTAGAGTAAAAAAAATAATAAAGACAGATGCAGATACAAATCTTAACATCAATTAACCAAAAAATTTATAGTATGTCTCGAACTTACTCTTATCCAGACTGAACAGATTTTTTACTAACCAACCATATTCGTTAACCTTATTCTCACTGCGCTTAGCTGATTTGCATCAACAAAACAATAGGCAAGCAGGTTCCATCATATTTATTTGACTTTTATTCATAATTACCTTTAACAACAAAGTATAACAACAGCTTCCTAAGCTCTGTGAGAATAAGGTTAACGAATATGATTCAAATGTAACAGTATTATTTTTCTTCACGATGACATCGTACTTACTAAATTTTCCAGACAGTAAACAGTCTTACTAACAATCACTTAACAAAATATATATATATATATATTTTTTTTTTGAAATTCACATTTCGGGACATATATAACCGTTAACCTACCAATGACATATGCTTAAAAAGTACTTAAAAGTACT